GTCCTCCGTACTGCAGAACTTGGAAGAGGTAGTTCAGTGACTGAATCAGGTGTGTTGTAATGTAAAACATGCCCACCCGTTCTAAATGCTGCATAAAATATAATCTGGACAAGTTAATTTGTATTTCTGTAAGAATAACTTATTATATAAGATTTTTTCAATAAATATTGACAGATATTGGATCTGGGCTTGGACAAGTTTTGATATTGATGCCCTACTGACCTGCCTTAAATGATCAAAATCTGTATCTGCTGAAGATTTTTGATGATGCTTGGACAAAATTTGGAAGTTTCTACCCAAGATAAAACTGTTAATTATACAGCTTTTAGTCAAACGCACAACTTTGATTTGAGTGTGCTCAGCTGCTCATTTCGTTGGCTGTGTGGAGTTTCAACTCTTTTTTTGCTTCATTCGTGTATTTTTTGTATTTCAGGTGAAGTTTTAATGTGTATCAAAGCATCGAACCAACATTTATCGAGCTTAAGGACTAAAAAGTGGCTAAAACGATGTGTTGCAGAAGCTAAAACGATCACAGTTGTCGTTGCGTGTACCCTGCGGCTGCGGCGGCCTCTCTTCTGCTGCTGCTGCTGCTCGATGAGCTCCATGGCGGAGGCCGGGGGCGAGGCCGCTCTCATGGCCCGGACCACCTTGATGCTGTCCTCCGGGAGCGGGGGCAGGTGGAGGCGCTCCCGGCCTCGCGCCTTCATCTCTTGGAGCTCCTCGAAGCCCCCCAGCGTGAACTGGAACACAAAGACCACCTTACAGGAAGGAGCCGGGAAATAGAGAGCTAAATCGTGGCGACTGAAGCGGTGTAATCGGCACCGACCAGGATGGTTTTCCACAGCAGCAGCAGGACCTTCTTCATGGGGAAGTGCGGCGCGTTCATGCTGCAGAATTTGGTCACCATGGTGAAGAGGAGCAGAGCGAAGGGCTCTTCGTTGTAAAGAGGCGAACCTGGGAGTTTTCAGGAATACACACACACTGTAGCTGCGTTTCCATTACAAATTAGGGCTGTGTATTGGCAAGAATTTGGCGATACGATACATATCATAACAGAGGGGTCACGATACGATATATCCTGATATATTGCGATACTATAAGCAAGGCGATATATTGCGATATAT